ATAGTATCATATCATCTGCGAATTATAAGAGCTTGATTTCTTTCTTTTCTATCTGGATGCCTTTAATGTCTTTTTCTTGCCTAATCGCTATTGCAAGTACTTCCAGTGCTATGTTAAACAGAAGTGGTGATAGTGGGCATCCTTGTCTTGTCCCTGGTCTTAGAGGAAAGTCCCTTAGTTTTTTCCCATTGAGGAAAATGCTTGCCGTGGGTTTGTTGTAGATGGCTTTGACTATCTTGAGGAAACTTCCTTCAAAACCCATTTTTCATAAACGGGAGCTGTATCTTGATGAAAGCTTTCTCTGCATCTATTGATATGATCATATGATTTTTATCTTTACTTTTGTTGATATGATGGATTATGCTCATTGATTACTGAATGTTAAAACTTCCTTGCATCCCCATATGAATTCCACTTGTTCGTGGTGTATGATCTTTTTGATGAGTTGTTGGATTCTATTTGCTAATATTTTGTTGAGAATCTTTGCATCTGTGTTCATCAGGGATATTGGCCTATAATTTTCTTTGTTGGTGGTGACTTTGTTTGCATTTGGTATTAGGGAGATATGTGCCTCATAGAAGCTGTTAGGGAGAGTTCCTGTTTTTTCAATTTCCTGGAAAAGCTTGAGAGAAATGGCAAAAGGTCTTCTTTAAATGTTTGGAAGAATTTCCTAGTAAACCCGTCTGGGCCTGGGCTTTTGTTTTTGGGAAGACTTTTGATTACCGCTTCAATTTTCTTTATATGAATGGGTCTATTCAGGTATCCCAAGTCTTCTCTGTTCAACCTTGGGAAATTGTAGGAGTCTAGGAATTTATCCATTTCTTCTATGTTCTCTTGTTTCGTGGCATACAGACTCTCAAAGTAGTCTCTGATGATCTTTTGAATTTCATTGGTTTCTGTTGTGATGTCCCCTTTTTCATTTCTGATTCAGTTTATTAGGGTTCTCTCTTTGTGAGTCTTGCTAGTAGTTTATCAATCTTATTTATTTTCTCAAAGAACCAGCTCTTGGTTTCTTTGACCTTTCGGATTGTTTTTGGAGTTTCATGTCATTAATTTCTGCTCTAAATTTTATTATTTCTTTCCTTCGGCCGGGCTTGGGTTCCTTTTGTTGGTCTTTTTCTAAGATCTTGAACTGTGTGATTAGGTTATCTATGTAGGCCTTTCTTCTTTCCTTGGGAATGCTTGCAACGCTATAAATTTTTGTCTTAGCACGGCTTTAGCTGTGTCCCATAAGTTCTGGTAGCTCGTGTTTTCATTCTAATTTGTTTCCAGGTATCTTTTGATTTCGTCTTTGACTTTCTTCCTGACCCACTCATTGTTCAACATTGAGTTGTTTAATTTCCAGGTGTTTGATTTGTTTCTCCATGTCTTTGTGTGATTTGCTTCTATCTTGAGCGCATAGTGGTCTGAAAAGATTGTTGATACTACTTCTAGCTTTCTGATTCTATTGAGGTATGTTTTGTGGTCTAGCACGTGGTCTATTTTGGAAAATGTTTCGTGTGCACTGGAGGAGAATGTGTATTCTTTCTTTTGAGGGTGTAAATCCATGTATAGGTCTATTAGCCCTCTCTCTTCTATTTCTTCCTTCGAAGCCAATGTTTCTTTGTTGAGTTTTGTTCTTGTTGATCTATCCAGGGGTGATAAGATGATGTTGAAGTCTCCAACTACTATTGTGTTGCTAGCAATGTTTTCCTTAAAATCTGTTAGCAGTTGTTTTAAGTATTTAGCTATTCCCTCATTAGGTGCGTATACATTTAAGAGTGTGATTTCTTCCTCTTGTACATATCCCTTGATAAATAGAAAATGGCCTTCACTGTCCCTTCTAATCATTTTCAACCTGAAATTTATGTTGTTGGATACTAGTATGGCCACCTCAGCTTTTTTGAAGGAGCTGTTTGCTTGCAGAATTATTTTCCATACTTTAACTTTGAATCTGTGTTTGCTCTGATTGTTCAGATGAGTTTCTTGTAGACAGCAGAATGTTGGTTTCAGTTTCTGGATCCCTTTTGCCACTCTGTGTCTCTTGATTGGTGCATTTAGACAATTGACATTGAGAGAGATTATTGTCATGGGGTTTTGTGCCATCTTTCTGTAGGGGTTGGTTGTGTTTATATCTGTTTTCCTTCTTATCTTACAGGAGCCCCTTTAATCCTTCTTTTAGATTTGGTTTTGAGTCTGTGAAGTTCCTGAGCTGTTGTTTATCTACAAAATGGTGTATCCTTCCATCGAGTTTGAGTGAGAGTTTAGGTGGATAAAGTATTCTTGGTGAGGCATTCAGTTCATTGAGTTTTTCACTATATCCCACCATTGTCTTTGGGCTTGGAGGGTTTCCTCTGATAGGTCTGCTGTAAATCTAAGGGGTGCTCCATTGTATGTGATTTCCTTCTTTGACCTTGCTGCTTGCGGTATTGTGTCTCTGTCCACAGAATCCATCATTCTGACTATGATATGCCTTGGAGTGTTTTTATTCGGGTCTCTTTTAGCTGGCACCCTTCTGGATCCTTGGATCTGGATGTCTGCATTCTTTAACTCTGGGAACTTTTTAGCAATGATTTCTTTGACTGTGGCTTTTTCATTGGAGTTGCCTCCCTGTCCTTCTGGTACTCCAGTGATTCTAATGTTGTTCCTCTTGACGTCATCATCTAGATCTCTGATTCTCCTTTGAGCTATTTTGAGGTCTTTTCCCATTGTTTGTTGTTCCCTCTGCAATTTCTATTGCTCATCTTCAAGCTCACTGATCCTGTCTTCAGCGGTATTCATCCTACTGCTGAGGGCACCTACTGAGTTTTTAATTTTGTCTTTCTAATCCTTTATTTGTGACACTTCTTTTTGTAGTGGTTTTATTTCTGATCTCATTTATTCCTGTATTTTCTCTACTATCTGTTCTACTGTTTCTTTCATTTCTTCCTTTAGTTTTCTGGACATCTCCTCCATTGATTCTTTGAGTAATTCCTTGACCATCCTCTGCATTTCATCTCAGAATTCTTTATTGGAGAGAGCATATTTGTGGATGACCTCAGTTGAGGATTCGGGACTCTTTTCTTCACCTTCTCCTTGTAGTGGAGACTATTTCTTCATGTTGTTTTGGTTGTCTAGTGGTAAAACCCTGGAATTCACTAACACTGTTTCCTCTTATCGTGGGAAAGGATTCTGGATAAGGTTGGTCGATAGTGGTCACCTTTCTCCCTTTCTAGAGTCTGACCTTCCTCTCAGGCATTATTCTTTGGCTTATGAGGGACATCTAGTGAAGCTTTGGAGGAGGTGCTGTTTAATATTGGGCTTGTACAGCTTCTTGTGTATACTGGTCTTTTGTTAGAATTGGAGTAGGCCAGATTAGGTGATAGAGGCTGGGATGAAAGTCAAGAGTGCAGGGAGTGGGAAATGTAACCGTGGCCACGTGAATGTCCGCCTACCTCAGAGAAGGCCATTCCCACTTTTGAGGAGGCCAGGCCCACTTTTGAGGAGGCCACGTCCACTTTTAGGAGGCCACGCCCCCAGCCAGTGCAGATGCTATTCCACAGACCTATTGGGGTAGCGACTAGTTGGGCTGGAGCTCACTGCGGAAGTAGAGGCAGGTGCCCCAGGCGGGGGTCCCCACGGCGGCAGCTAGCTTTCAGGGTCCCGAGTTTGGGTGGTGAGGGGGTGCCAAGCAGGTACAGACTGCTTGGGCAGGGGCGGCAACTAGTTGAGACACTCCAGCCCTTTTAATAGGCATTGACATACTGTTTGGTGATGACTTTTGATCATTTTTATGTACTCAAACCATATATTCATATATTCATTAGAAGCAAGACTTGGCATCTAAATATCCTGTAGGTTATAACTTTACCACATAATGTACTAGATGCAGGGACAGTGGGCAACCATGGGCCCAGCTTAGCCTCTAGAGCTATGGTGGAAAGGGAAAGACAGATAATGATAATTAGACAGCCATGTTAAATTTCCCAGTTCTCCAACAATCCCCATCCCTGTCTCCTCCACATCATATTCATAGTTCAAAACTCCACTCAAATATCATCTTGGAAAAGTCTTCCATACAAAAGGAACACATCTCTCTCCTCTCCTTTCTTCTGTTCCACAATAGCACACACTGAGGTAGGTGGCGTGAGTGGGGGGTGGCAGGAGGATACGTTGGAGGGGGGACATTGGTGGTGGGAAATGTGCACTGGTGGAGGGATGGATGTTGGAACACTGTATGACAAAAACATGATCATGAAAGCTTTGTAACTGTATCTCACCGTGATTCAATTAAAAAAAAAGTTTGAAAATCCACAAAAGCACACACGAGCTTGTAGCCAGTGATAATCGAGCCTGTGACTTCCACACGATTGTGCAAATTTTAAGGGGAGGGGAGTGTCATCTCCTAGCCATCTCTGTATGTCTGGACCTCCAGGGACACAGAAGATGCTCCATGCATATTTATGAAGCCCCGAGAAAGACCAAGAGTTAGTACAGGGGAAAGGCACCTGCTTTGCATGCAGCTGACACTCGTTCAGTCCCAGCATCACATGGTTAACCAGCACTGCCAGGAGTGATCCCTGAGCACCAAGCCTGAAGTAGCCCCTGAGCTCCAGTGGTGTTATACAAAAATCAAAACCAAAAGATGCCCTGGGACAATGGTGGGGAATGTGGACACTTTGGTGGAGGGTGTGGTGCTGGAATGATTCATGCAAGAAACCCTACTGTCAACAGAATTGTACCTCATGGTGCCGAAAATAACATTTACAATATAGCCAAATAAATAAAGTAAAGCCCCAGAGGGGAAATGAGACAATAGCCTTTGATCAAGTAGACAGAGTGTACCTTCAGGCCTTTTGATCAAGCCTCTTTGTCTGACAGACACTTTCCTGACTGAACTCATTAAGAAAGAGACTAGAGATGAAACTTTGAGTTTATAGGTCCTAATTACTTTCTGTGTTATAAGGCAGAATTTAGATTTGGAAGAGAGTTTGGGGCACCATTACCCTTCTCTCATGCCTTCTCTTTTCTCCCTTTGCCAGGGTCCGTGTGAGCCAGGACGGGCAGTTTCTGCATTACATCTTTCCTTACCAGTTCATGGACTCTCCCGAGTGGGAATCACTGCAGCCCTCTGAGGAGGGGATGTTCCAGGTAATGGGTGCCCTGTAGCAGCACCCTCGCATCCCATGTCCCAGGTCCTCCAGCTTCCCCCCTCACATCTATCCTTGAACCACTACTGATAACAGCGCTAGGGCCCAGAGCAGCTTGCTTCTGTGGAAGGGTGGCTGGGCTCCCAACAGGTTTGAGATGGGCTGGATAGGGCGCTGGCACGTCCTGAGAGGAAGGACGTGCTTACGACCGCTCCCATGCTTACAACTCTTCCAGAAACCCCTAGTGACCACAAAATAAAACCCTCCCACACTCCTCAGAAAATGACTTGGGAGGGCCTTTTGTGATGTTCAGACTCCTCATAAGCTCTTCCGCCCTCTACCAGCTTGGTTTCATGGCCCCTTGACCCTTGTACCCAAAGCCCATTTCCCGAATCAGACCAAGGCCCTGACATCTCACTTCCTCTGACACTTGCCAGTATGGCCTCAGCAGCATCAAACCCACTTCCCACTGCTTCTGCTGGTGTGCCTTCTTTTTTCCCTCTTCTTTTTCTGTTTTTTGGGCCACACCCAGGAATACTCTAGTTTTACTCTGGGTCCACGTTCAAGGATAACTCCTAGCAGGGCTTAAGGGACCATAGGGAGTATCAGGTACTCAGGTTGGCTGCATGCAAGGCAAGCTCCTCACCCCTGGACTGTCTCTCCAGCCCCAACACTTTATTCTTTTTATTTTGTTCTGTTTGGGGACCACACCTGTCTTTGTGTTTGGGGGACCAGGTAGTGCCAGAGATTGGCCCAGGCTCTACGCTTGCCAGGCAGGTGTTCTACCTGCTCCAGGCCTGTTCTCTGTGCTAAAGATCTGGTCTCCTTTCTGTCTTGAACACAGTGAAATCTGAGCTGTAAATCTTGGCTTCTCTTTTTTTCTATCACCAAGAGCCAAAGGACAGTGCGTGAACACTGTATTTAGTCTAAGTTGTCCAAGCTTGTTGTCCTGGGAGGTCTCTCTGGGGAAGTCACACACACACACACTCCCTAGTGGGGCCTCGCAGCTCTTCATCAATAAGACTTTGGTTATCTTCTCTATGGTTCTCAGTGAATAACTAGCACATTTATATCATATTACCTAATCAATTTTCACAACACACTCTCGTTAGGTATTTACCCTATTTAACAGACAGGCAAACTGAGGATTGGGTCTGAAACAAGAGTACAGTGGATCAGGTGCTTGTGTTGCGTGCAGCTGACCCAGGTTTGATCCCTAGCACCACACATAGTCCCCTGAGCCCTACCAGTTGTGATCCCCGAACACCGAGCGAGGATTAAGCCTTAAGAGCCACTTGGTATGTCCCCAAATCCCCCAAAAAATTAGTGAAAGAAAAGGAAAACTAAGGATCAAAAACATAAAGTCATTTGCCCGCTATCTTTATCTACAACTGGCAGAGCACAGTTGCCTGACTCTGTTACCATTCCTGCTCTCTTTAAATACTAGTGGAGTTAAAACAGAAACCAATGGAGTCCCAGGAGTATGGAGGTGACATGCACACATACACACACACACATTAGAAAGACTGCCCTGGCCAGACAGTTTCCCATGGCTGGGCCCTGTGTTCTTTCATCCCTTCTCTCAGGGAGACCCTTGGCTTGCCTCTTTGTAGAACCCAGAATAGATGCCCAGCCGCAAGCCACCTGGCCAGGCCTGCTTCCGCATACCGGTGAACTCAGGACAGAGCCTGGTTTCGCTGTCAAGGGCAACCACAGGCCCCCTCTCAGGATGTTTCTCCCAGACACCACCACACACACACACACACACACACACACACACACACACACACACGTCTCCTTCTTTGAGAATGCCCAGGGCATGAGCCTGCTCGAAGGCTGAGTCAGGCGGGGTCAGCCAGGCTAGGCTGTTTGGGACAGCGGAGCAGGTGGTGGGTAAGCCTGTGTCCTCCCCTGAGTTACGCCCCACAGGCAGTGCTGTAACCCCAGATGGCCTCGAGTTTGCAGTGTGGGCCCCACTTATATTTTTAGTGCGTACCTCCTCAGGAGCAATGACATCCGCATGCGGCCATTGGCTTGTAAATTCCTATTTCCTCTTTGCAAAGGTCAAGTGTTTTCCTGAGTTACAGTTCATCCTGTCCTTGCCTTTCGCAATTGCATAGACTTTGCTAACTGCCAGCTTCATAGTTCTTGTTGTGTTTAATAAAGTGAATCAAGATTCCATCACTCTTCTCAACAGTTTCATGAAATAAGAATTTATCCACTGCTTAGCACTGTGGCCCTGTCATTAGTCTCCAAGAACATAGCACACAAAAGCCATCATTATATTTCTCTAATTCACATTGTGTTTTACTGGATTCAGGCCTCATATGTCATATAATTTAATCCATTTAACCAAAGAGAATTAGAATAAAGCTTGTCAAACTTTATTATTGACAGGTGCATAAATATGTGAGAACCAGACAATTGACAAATGTCTTGAATGTATTTGGGGAAGGATTATATATAGGATATAAGAAAGAGATATTATCTGACAATATTGTTTGAAAAATAGATTTATTCACATTAGTCATATTTATTGGGCATGTCTTCTGTACCAGACACTTTTATTTATTTATTTTATTTTTGGGTCACACCTGGTGATGCTCAGGGGTTACTCCTGGCTCTGCACTTAAGAATTACTCCTGGTGGTTCTCGGGGGACCTTATGGGGTGCTGGGAATTGAACCTGGGTCGGCTGCGTGCAAGGCAAACGCCCTACCTGCTGTACTATTGCTCCAGCCCCTATACTGATGCTTTGAAAGGTGCTTGGATCATATCATTCCTATCTCCATGCAATTCATGTTTCAATAGGGGACATGCTAAAAATATGCCACGGAGCAAGTATATTACGTAATATATTAAAAGAAATAAACTACTAATTAAGAAAGGTAGTGTGAGGGAATTAAAATTTATTTAATTTGGGGAACCTCATAAGCGTTGCTTGGGGAACTGGAGGCCCCCCTGGGTGAACTGGGCTGATGGAGTAATGTTTGCATCGGTCCTTGAATTAGGATACTGCTTGGGCTCGGTGATGTTGGCTTCCAAAGCTGTACTGAGAAATACATAAGGACTATAAGGGGCAGGGATTCAAACCTGGGTCAGAGGCTAGCAAGGCCTGCCTCTAAGTGCTGCAGCCCTACCTCCTGGCCCTGGAGTTGTGATTTTAAACAGTGTGGTCATAAAGTCTTTGCTGAATAGGTGATCTCTGAGAAAAAAAAAAAACTTGAGGGTGCTGGGACCCAGTGAGTGTGGGTAGCTAGCATGTTTGAGGTACAGAAAGGAGACAAGGGCAGGTCCAGCAGAGCAAGGCGGAGAATAGCTGAAGTGGCAGAGATGACCAGGAGACACATTATGTAGGCCAGAGCACCTTGACTCTCTAGATAGAGCAAGAAGGATTTCTGAATGGGAATTGAACCTGGATCGGCTGTGTTTTTCTGAATTTCTGAATTAGGAGGTGGTACATGAAAGAACGAGGAACAAAGGCAATTCCAAGGCTGTTGACCTGAGCAGAGATCTACCAGGCATTTCCCCTGGGAAGGGCTGAGCTACTACTGAATGTTATTAGAAGGTTGCAGACAGTACAGATGCAGGCAAGGAGAAGAAGTACAGTTTGGAATATATGAAATTTGCATCATCTTTGGACATTTAAATGGAGATGCCACACAGGCAGCTGGACACTTGACTCTGGAATGAAGGAATGAGGTCTGTGCTTGAGATCAGCATGGGAGTTGGCGCTTCAGTGATATTTAAAGCTTTTGGGTTGCACAAGATCAGAGTGAGTTTACACACAGAAAGGAGTTAAAAACCAAGCCTCTAGTACACTCTGGTTTTTAGAAGACAAAGATACAAAGGAAGCCTGAAAGTGGCTATTAGGAGATCAAGTCAGAGTGAGTGCAGAATTCTGGGAACGAAGAAAAGAAAATATGTCCAAGTACAGGGTGAAATCCATAGGCTTGAACCTTGTCAAAGCTGACTGACAGCCATGGCAGCTCTGCCGTCATTGGCAAGCAAAATGGGTTGTGTCTACTGTTGGGAACACATTGGTTTAAGGGGAAGATGAAAATTTGGAGATAGTAACATTTTGTTTTATTTTTTAATTTAATTTTTTATAAAGTTGTTCACAATATTTGATTACATTTAATGTTCAAACACAAATCCCACCACCATTCCACCTTTCCACCACCATATTTCGGATGTTTCCATCCCGAGTCCCAAACCCTGCCCCCAAAGCAGAACAGAAATAATTTATTTTGTATTGCTTGTTTATGAATAGTATGCTAAAAATGATCCGAAAAAAGGTTTCTTAGAGGAAAGTGTGTGAAGGGTGTTGAATTTCACCCAGAGGCCATTAATTTCTTCTATAAGAGATTAGTAACATGTTGTTAAAGGTTGAGCCTTGTGTGCTTATATCTATATCTGTATAAATATATTCCCCCCTAAGATCGGTTGCCTTTCTAATCGAATGTGGTGTGCTACTCTTGGTATCTTGGTGGTGTCAAGTATGAGAGGTCCAGGAATAGAGTGACTCATTGGCAAGGCACATCCGAGCATGTGGATAGTAGCTGTGAGCTTGGCAGCAGTTGAGTTCTGGAGGGTTTTGGCAGATGGGGCTGACTCCAGTGGGGTGGGGTGGGGCCTCACCTGTCCCCCTCTGGGTTGCCCCGAGTAAGACCCTGCCTGGTGCAGGGTCTGGAAGCATGGCTATGGCAAATTGCTTTGTGTTCTCTTTTGAAAGATTTATTGTTGAGTCTCTGGATCATAGCAATTGATGAGATTATATGGAGCCAGAGGCAGCTTATGAGGGTGACTGCCAAGCTGCCAGAAATAGGGGGGCTTGGGGGAGATAGTATCATTTTAAAGTGTGTGTGTTGGGCGAGAGAGGGAGCACAGACATTTACCTTGCACACGGCCGACCTGGGTTCAATACCCAGCACCCATACAGTCTCCTGAGCACCACCAGGAGTAATTCTTGAGTGCAGAGCCATGAGTAACCCCTGAGCATTGCTGGGTATGATCCACTCCCAAAATAAGTATGTGTGTGTTGGAGGGGGGCATATGGATATATTTTTTTGTGGAGTTGTGAAAAAGGAGAGTGAATAGAAGAAGTAGCTAGTCAAAGAAATGAGATGAAAAAAATTCCTTCCTTTTCTTCTTTCTTCTTTTCCTTGCTTCTCCTTTCTTCCTTCCTCCCTCCCTCTCACCCTCCTTCCCTCTCTCTTTCTCTCTTCCTTCCTTCCTTCCTTCCTTCCTTCCTTCCATCCTTCCTTCCTTCCATCTTTCCTTCCATCCTTCCTACCTTCCTTTTCTTTCCTTTCTTCGTTTCCTTTGGACCACATTCAGTGGTGCTCAGGGACTATTCCTGGCCCTGTGCTCAAGAAGGGTGATCCTTAATGATGCTCAGGGGAGTGTGTGGGGTGCTGGGAATTTGAACCAAGTTAAGCCACGTATGACTGCCTAAATGACCTTAACGTTTGCACTGTGTATCCAGCCCAGCTCTTTTTCTTTAATATTACAAGCAGTTTCTACTTTAGCCCTAGTTTTTCCACTCCTCATTGTTCTAACAAGAAGTTATCTGGCACCTTCTGCGTGCTGTCCTGTCCTGTCCTCCCGTTGTTCATCGATTTGCTCGAGCAGGCCCAGTAACACCTCCATTGTGAGACTTCTTGTTACTGTGTTTGGCACATTGAATACTCTCAGTAGCTTGCCAGACTCTCTGAGAGGGGCGGAGGAATCGAACCTGGCTCGGCCAGGCTGGCTGCGCTCAAGGCAAATGCCCTACCACTGTGCTATCGCTCCAGCCCTCTGCATGCTGAGTACAGGTCATTTACCATGCAGGGAGATTCACTGCTGCAGCATGACGCGTGGTGTGTGCTTGAAACTTCCTCGATGACTGGCTAAATGACAGTAGGCTGCTTTCAGTTTAGCACTAGGAGCTGGGAGAAGAGATGTGCTCTCAGGGGTCCTCTTTCTCAGTGCACTTTCTCTGAGGTTAGTTATCGGATCTGTTTGGTTACTTTGTGGTGGCCAAGTCAAGAGCAAGCCCAAATCTTAGGCCAGTGTACTGTGTGCTTGATATGATGTGGCACACACCATCGAAAGGTCCTGTCTTGGGGCTGGAGACATAGTCCACCAGGCAAGGCTCTTGCTTTGCACGCCACAGATCCCTGGTGTGCATATGACCCCCTGAGCACTGCCAGGAGTGACCACTGTGCTCAGAGCTGGGAACAGCCCCTGAGCAGCTTCAGGTATAGCTAAAAAATAAAAACCAAAAAACAAAAAGAAAAACAAGCTCTTAACTCTTTTGTGTTTAGAGCAGTCAAAGCTATCAGTGGCCCAGGAGTTTGGAACTCCAATGAGCTTACCAGAGTTCACAGTAGCAGTCATTCACTGGGCTTCCTCCAGAGGAGGTTTAAAAGGTCCCCCAGGTCTCAGTCAGCAGAAGTGCAACTCTGGCCAGGCTCCATGCCAAGCATGGACAGATAACTTTATGGGATTTTATTTTTTAATTTTTACTAGTGAAACACCATGAGGTACAGTTGTAGACTTACAAATTTTTGTGCTTGGGTTTCAGTCATACAATGATCTAGTACCCATCCCTCCGCCAGTGCCCATTATTCACCACCAATGATCCCAGTATCCCACCCCCTCCCATCCCACCCTGTCTCTGTGGCAGGGCATTCCCTTTTGTTCTCTCTCTCCCTTTGGGTGCTGTGGTTTGCAAAAGAGGCACGCTATGGGATTTTTGTTGTTGTTGCTAATTTTGGAAGGCCACATCCGACAGTGTTCAGGAATGACTCCTGGCCTTGCTCAGCCAACCATACACAGTGTCGGTGGTGGACCAGATGGGCGCGTGCGGGCAAGCGCTTTAACTCCTCTCCTTTGTCTCCGTCCCAGGTTTGGTAGCTTAATTCTGCACTTTCTCCTGACCCCTCAGGTCACCCTGACTGCTGAGACCGAGTGTAGCTACATCTCCTGGCCCCGAAAAAGCCTCTATGTTCTCCTGAGGAAAGATCGGTATATCTCCCGCCTCTTTGCGGCCCTGCTGGGCTATGACATCTCGGAGAAGCTCTACGCCGTCAACCACAAGGTCTTTGCTAAATTTGCGATGCACTTTGACATTCGGCTGCCCAGTCTCTACCGCGTCCTGGGCCCCGCAGCCCCAGACACAGGGCCGGAGCCCGAGCCCGAGAAGGAAAACGAAGGACCCCAGGAGCCCGACAGGGTCCCTTCTCCAGCTGTGCTCACCTCTGCCCAGGAAAACACCCCCAGAGTGCCCCCTCCCGCCGCCACTGTCTCCCCAACACCTCGTTCCCCAGTGTGGGTCCCCAGGCCCAGGAGTGGCATTCTGAGCGATGACTCTACCAGCCTGGTGCTGGAGGATTTTGCAGAGGTGTCCGAGTCGGAGTCGTTCATGGACTACCGCAGCGATGGGGAGTACATGAGGTGAAGGGAGCCGACCTGGGGCCCAGGTAAGTGCTGCTCAGAAGCCCACGTCCTGCCACCAGCGCTCTGGGGACTGGGAAGGGCAAAACTCCACTTCAAGGAGCATCCCTCTCAAGGCTGTCAAGAAAGTGATGTCACCCTTCTCTTGCAGAGAGCTGGTCACTCTGAGTGCCTGCAAGGCATGAGGGCACTCGCTCACCTCTCCGTGGGCATTGCCTTTGCAAAGCAGACCGCTGGGCGTTTTGAGCGAGCAAGTGGCTTGCCAAATTTGGGGCAAGGTTATACCGACAGCAAAGGTCACAACTAGGGGTCAAAGGGGATTGTATTTGTGGCCTGCATTTTTTTTAGTATTGTTTTTTGTTTTAGGGCCAGATCCAACTGCACTCAGTGTTTACCCTGGCTCTGTGCGCTGGAATCACTCCCAGGGGTGCTCAGGGAACCATATGTGGTGTCAGGTGTCAAACCAGAGTCTCCAGCGTACAGAGCTAGCTCCTTAACCCCTTGCTATCTCTTCAGCCAGCCAGTCAGGTATTCTGGAGAAGAAATGAATCTTTTCTTCTCAGTTCATTTAGGTTCTCTGCGTTTTTCTCCCTTTTATTATACACATATGTCTCTCTTACCTTCTCTTTGTTCCCCCCCCCCTCCATGTTTTGGATTACAGCCCATGGTGTTCAGAGCTTCTTTGGGGGGACCAAAACAGGTGATTTAGCCCATTGACAATCTCTCCAGTCCAAATTCCATGTGATTTTAAATTTGGTTTAGGATAATGGATAATTTTTTTTTTGTCTTGGTGCCACTTGTGACTGTGCCCAAGGCTCACTCCTGACTCCCAGCTCAGGGATCATTCCTGGCAATGCTTTGGCTGCGGATGGAACTGGTGTTGGTCTTATGCAAGACAAGAGCTCGAAATCCTGTACTATTTCTATGACTCCAGTAATGGGATAATGTATGCCTAAAATCCTTTTCTAGAATTATATTTCTATTTGTTTTTTACTTGAGGGCTTTCCCGGAGCGCTCTGGTGCTGCTGCTGGCTCTGTTCTCAAGGGGCACCTGCAGCTGTGGAGCCAGCGATCAAACCCTTAGATCATTTCTCTGACTCTGGAGTTGTGAGGCTGTTCACCATGCCATTACACTCTGACTGTGGTTATCCAATGTCCTGAATAAGCACAGCCCTTTTTGGCGGGTAGCAATTTACTGTTCGGTTCCTGTGTAGAGCAGGATCCCATTTACCATCTTTCCCCTGCTCTTTCAGTTACCAAGACTCTAAGTCCATTACTATTCATTCCAGTACACTTCTGCCTCTGAGAGAATAATACAACCTCATCAGGCTGACGCCAGCTCTTGTCCTGACCAATTCAACTTCAGCATAAGGCCCGCAGAACCTGGAGTTTCCACTGGACCACATTTTTGAATGGGGCGTGGATTTTACAATTCAGCTAGCACTGAGTAGACGCAAGTGAATGCTGCCTCTTTCACCAAGCCCCAGGCTGGACACATTCATGGCAGTATCTTCCAGCTGGATTCCGTCAGTCTGCCCACACTAAACTGCTCACGTGTGTAGGATAACACTGTCTTGTCCTTCCTGCATAGCTTCAGGTAGTTTAGGTATATTGGGTTGCTCCTACCACGGTGCCCCCATTCCTCTGTGTCTATTCGTAACTTCTTTCTTTGTGCTCTGTTGACTTGTAAATATTTTTCTCTTCTCTCTAAGTCCTTTGCATAGTTTATTCAGAGCAATGTCATGCTGTATGGACACAAGAAGACATGCTTTTGTAATGTGACTATCAGTGATATTTTCCTCCTGGGCATCTGTTCTCTCACCTAAGCCTCAGCTGCCTTTACTTCCTAGTGCCCCCAAAAGCAGGGTCCCGACAAGGGACTGGATGGAACCAGGGCAAATTGTAAGCTATGTGCTACCCTGGCATCGAGATGGGCCTGGCCAAAGCGCCATGATGTTTAACTATAAGTTAAGAGCTTGGGCATGGACAAATGCTGTCATAATCCAAAAAGTAACAAACAGATTTGGACCCTGCTAGGGTTAGGAAAGATTAATCTGGCCTCAGTGCTGTAGTCTGAGTCTGTGGCATGATGTTCCCAGGAGAGCTGCCCTGGGAAGTCTCAATGTTATCTCTTACAAAAATAACTAGTATTAAGATGTTGATAGATAGGTAAAGGTAAAAGGTAAAGGCCCTCTCATTGATCGTCGATTTGCTCGAGCGGGCCCAGTCTCCATTGGAGACTTTGTTGTTACTGTGTCTGGCATATCCAATACTCTCGGTAGCTTGCCGGGCTCTCCAAGAGGGGCGGAGGAATCGAACTCGGGTCGGCCATGTTGGCTGCGTGTGTAAGGCAAACGCCCTACCCGCTGTGCTATCACTCCAGCCCGCTCGATAGAGTTCTTAGACTAAAGAAAAGAGAGAAACACCTTAAGGGGTATTTTGCCCTTGGGCAGTCAGGAATCACAATCACAAATCACAGATCATCCTGTTATTCCTCGATTGCCTTGAGCAGGCCCCAGTAACGTCTCCTTCATCCTAGCCCTGAGATTATATTCAAGGCTCTTTAGGAGAATGAGACCCATCATTGTTACTGGTATTTGGCATATTGGGTATGCCACGGGGAGTTTGCCAGACTCTGCCGTGTGGGCAGGCTATATTCGGTAGCCTGCCAGTTCGTCCAAAGTAGGGCAGTCAGGAAGGGCTTTGGAATACCTCTTAAGTGGTGTTCCCTTTGAGCCTGGTGGGCCCTCAGGAAGGGCTTTCTTATATTGATTTTACTACCTAACTACCCAGCTCAGAGTGCTGGGGAGTTAGAGAGAAGAGAGCAGGAGAGGAGAGAGCTCGGAGGCAAGATGGACTGCCGAGAGGCTAGCAAGGGGGACAGAGAGAGAAGAATGTAGAAGAATACAGGAACCGGCGCGTGGAGAGAGAGAGCGCAGGCTACGAGATGGAGTGGAGAGATGAGCGGGAGAGACAGAAGGAGACTGGAATGAGGGTCAGTGTGAGACTAGAATGGGAGGCTCAGAGAGACTGAGGCAAGCACGTGGAGAGAATGGAATAAACAACATCTGATCGATCAACTGGATTGGCCCTCGTTTCGTCCACCCTCTGCCCCACCGCCCCATGGCCTGGGCCGCCCCGACTGGGTGAGCCGTTTGGGCCCACCCCGAACACGGGCGGTGAGGGGGAGAGCCATTGGGGCCCCCCTGCTGCGCCTAAAAGAGTTTATACACACGTGTAATTACGTGGGCCCTCTCTGCCATGTTCCATTTGGTCCTTAACTTAGAGGAGAGGCTCAGTGAATGAGAGTCTAAAGTAGGCCAATTGGTGAGAAAAGAAGTGCCTGATAACAAAGCATTTGAAAGTGGTAGGAAATATGGCCTTTTTTTTGGTTTGTTTTCAAGTTCTGTGAACTGTGGTTTAGAAGAAAAAACCTGTATATTGTTTCCTTTCTCTCTCTCATTTAAATTAAGAAATGAAAAACAGATGATAAGATACAGATTAATGGATCAGGGCATCGTATCTGGCACTATGCAGATTAATAGGATCATGTGTAATCATGCGTAACAGCTGAGAGAACTGAAGATCATTAGCTGCATTAGACAGACCAAAAATGCCTTCACATTTGCCTTAGTTTGGTATTGGACTTGAAGACAGGCAGGAATTCAAGGCTGCAAATTATCAGAAGGATTTCAGCTCTGCACTGGCAACGGATTGCCTCACACAGTAGAGAGTTAGAAGTGATTAGAACAGGGAGCAAAAGAAAAGTCATTATGAATGATTAAACAGGGAGCAAAAGAAATATAACAGACGGTGTTGGGTTGATTCAGGCTTTGAGAGCAAGGCAACAGAGGCTGTTTCTCTTAAAGTGCCTTATAACTGTGGTGCCAGATCCTTTGAGTCTAACACCTGCTCTATTCCTGTCACTTTAACAGTCAAGAGCATGTCATCAGCTGCACATGTGTATGTGTGTCATGTTTCCAAGTGTGTGTGCACATGTGGGTGACAGTCTAATCCTAGCCCTGCACAGCAGCCCAGGCCTGACACCCTGCCTTCCTCCCCGGGGGCCCAGGCCTCAGGGCTGTGTGAGGCGCCTGTGTCCCTCCTCTGAGCACCAAGACGCAGCTTGTCATTCCGGGCTGTGCCTCATGCAGAGATGGTCAGGTTTTTCCCATTGCCAGCTGCGGCCCCCAGGCAAGAAAGCGGATGCATTCTTCTTTTTTCTCTCTTGTTGCTTTTGGGACAGAGCAGCAGTGCTGAGGGGACCCTGCGGTGTTAGGCCTGGGACCTCTGCCCCTAAGACAGACCTATGTGGTGGCAGCGGTGATTGGACAAGGGTCAGCCACGCGCAAGGCAAGCACTCTGCCTGCTGTACCATCTCTCAGGCCCTGGAGATTTTTTTTTGGATCTTTTAAAATATATTTAAATATACTTTTATTTAATCTTTTAATTTTTAAAAATATTACTCCTGGGGCTGGAGTGATAGTACAGTGGGTAGGGCGTTTGCCTTGCACTTGGTCAACCCAGGTTCGATCTCCAACTTCCCATATAATCCCCCAAGCACCGCCAGGAGTAATTCCTGAGTGCAGAGCCAGGAGTGACCCCTGAGCATTCTGGGTGTGACCCAAAAAGCATTTAAAATATATATATATATGTATATATATATATATACATATATATTTATTACTCCTGACAGAAACCTGGACACTACAGAGAGGAGCCCTGTCTCCCATTAGTCGGTATTTGTTATTCCTGTTGCGCAGCTGAGGAACTGCTCTTGGTTTTGGTAGCCACGCCAGATGGTGGCAAGGTTTACTCCTGATTCTGTGCTCAGGGATCACTCTTGGCAGTGCTCTAGAAGACCATATTTGGTGCCTGGAGTTGAATAAGGGTCAACTGCATGTAAGTCAAGGGCCTTAACCACTGTACTATCTCTCTGGTCCTCTATATAGATTTTTTTTTTTTTGCTTTTTGGGTGACACCCAGTGATGCTCAGGGGTTACTCCTGGCTCATGAACTCAGGAATTACTCTTGGCGGTGCTCAGAACTGAACCCGGGTCGGCTGCGTGCAAGACAAACACCCTACTCACTGTGCTATCGCCCCTCTATATAGGTTTTTAAGAATAACTCTCAGTGTTAGGTAGGAAATAGAGATTTTTGTTTTTGTTTTTACAGGAAGCAACACACTTTGAATTCTGGATCTTTTTGTGTATAAAAGAAGAGAGTTGGGCTAGTCCTGACTAGTATTAATTCTAGAATGAAGTGGCTCAAAATTCACCTGAAACCATTGATTCATAACCCATGAAAAGAACCCTTGAAGTGTGGCAAATGCTCTGTAACTGTGGTGCTGAAATTCTTTCTTTTTTTTCTTTCCACAGCTTCTAGAATTCCTCTCCAGAACTCCTTTCAAGTTATGACAAGTCCCCGTGGCTCCAGCCCACACTCATGGACTCTGGGGCTCAATGCTTTGTCTTTTCTCTGGTCACATTAATATTCAAAGAAATGTCATGGTCTGCACAACCGGCTTCTCCACAGAAAGGCTCCCAGTTCAGGAGCATACATAGAACGTTCCAGAACTGCAGCTATTCCTTGGATGCCAGGTGGCTTTTAGAAAGTCTCCTCACCAACCTCCCTTCCAGCAGAAGGCCTCCAAAAGTACAAAAACACAGATTCTGTCTTCTATAAATTGCAGAATCTTGGGCAAGTTACATAGCCTCTCTGAGTCTCAACTGTAAAGTGGGGATTAAGGGGAAAAAATCCCCCTCACAGGGCACTTGGGAGGATTAAATGAGCTGCTGTAGGTAAAGCACCTGGGACATGGCATGGCACTGAGTTAATGCTCAGTAAACCATCTGGGTCTTCCACCTATCTCGTTTCTTTGAACTGTCTGAAAGGATCCATGAAGTCAGCAATACAAGATATTTTCACTGTGTTTCCTTAAATAATTATGATTAAGATTCAATCAATGGCTGTAGAAATGGGAAAAATAGAGCTTTCCCCAAAGTTACTAAGTTCACCTTATAAATCTCTTGTTCTACTTATAACTCTAGTTGTGAAAAATAGTTTTTAGAGGGATCTTCACAAACTAATTACATGTTGTTGAGTATTGTCAGGAGGTATAGAAAGCACACACTCTGTTTTCCTTCCTCCCTAAATACAGCAAGACTTATTCCAGCTGTCTATTGCTGTGTAACATTTATCCTGATGAATAGCTACAAAAACTAATTTTGCTCAGGAGAAGAAGCCTGGAGTGACCCAGCGAGGTTGTTTTCACTCAAGGTTTCTTTTGCTTTTGCCCTTCAGTTAGTGGCTACGACCAGTGTAATGCCAAAGGGTTTCCAGGTCTGGTCTGGTAAGATTCCAAGTGTCTGGGAACTGGCCAAGCTGGGGAGCTGTGGGCAGCTCTTTTTCTCTTTCAGAATTTTGTCCATTTTCCATTGCTGTACAATACTGTACTATTATATTACAGGTAATCCATTCTACTATTGATGGTTATATGGGTAGTATCTAGCTTGGGGCAATTAGGAATTTTACTCTGAGGAGCATTCTTGAACCTATCTTTTGGTACACATATGTATATATTTCTTGAGTATGTATCTGGACTGAAATTGCACGGGCATTGGGTCTGTTTATATTTTACCAAAGCAAATTTAGTCAAACAATTTTGCAAAGTTATTTTGACAATAGAGATTCCTTTTGGCAGTGCTATGTTACTTCTCGTCTTCCCCGTTGTTAACATTGTCATTTTTTCCTTTCTTTTTCATTTTACTACATCATTTTGGTTTTAATTTCCATTTCCCTGATGAATAATAAGGTTGAGTACCTTTTCATGTCTGTATTAGCCGTTGATTTCCCATATTATGAAGATCCTGTTCTAGTCCTTGTCTGTTGTTCTCTTCATTTTGTGCATGTTGACTTAAAGGATTCAAGTTTAAAGTCCTGGGCTGGAGAGGCAGAATTCAACTGGCTGAGTGCGACCTGTGCATGCAGGAGACTTCGTGTTTGTTTCCCAACACTGCATGGTTCCCCACTTCTGGGAGTGACCCCTAAGCGCAGAGTTAGGAGTAGCACCCAAGCACTGTCAGTGTGACCCCCCCATACCAGATAAAATAAAGTCTTTTGTTGTTTATTATAGTCAATCATATTTTCCTGTGGCTCTTTATTTTTTCTAAATGGTATTTTTCAACAACATAATTTTTTGAAAAAAAAATTTATTTCTAATAAACACCACAACTTACAAATAACACAAACTCTTAATTTCAATTTTGTGATTTATCAGTCTCTTCCTTTATTATTAGTGCCAGAGAGTATCTCGCCCACACGGCAATGCCTGGCAAGCTCCCCATGATGTATTTGATATGCCAAAAACAGTAACAACAAGTCTCACAATTTGTTGTGAGATGTTACTGGTGCCTGCTCAAGCAAATCGATGACTAACAGGAGGACAGTGCAGTGCTACAGTGTGTCATATTTAAGAAATTTGGGTGAATAGATGCAGCATCTCTCTGTCATCCCGTTGACCATCAGGATTAATCTGGTTGATCTAGCTGGCTAGACTGATGACTCCTCCCTCCCTTCCTCACTCTTTCTGTGCATGCTTTTTGACTAGGATGTGCACTGGGGAAGAGAACTGCCTTCCCAATAGATGTGGGCCATTCTTGAGTTGAGGGTATATGAGTAGCTATGCTCCCCTGTTAGAAACTTGAAATAAGTTCTCTAGAAATCTTTCTTTTCTGAAGATGTGCCTCCATGTTTCCTAATAGACATTTTGCTATTGTTGATTTTCTCTGGTTTGCTAGTTATTTACGATTAATCTGGATTTGATTTTGCATATAGAATGAAGTAAGGGTAAAGTTTGTTGCTTTCCAGTGGAATTCCAATAGTTTAACCACTGCTGACTGAAGTGATGATAGTATCCACACTGATATTCAGTGTTGCCTTGGTCATAAATCAAACACCCACATCTGTTTTTGGATCTTCTGCTCTGTCCCACTGATCTCTTTTGCATTGTTTGCAGACAGTATCACCTGGTTGTAATTATTGTAGCTGGATATGTTTGATATCTGGTGGTCTTTAAACTTCATTCTTCTTCAAGCCTTGGTTTTCCTTAGGCCTTCACTTTATATTTTAGGGTAAATATTAGAATAAGCTTGTTAAGTCCATAAAAATTCAATTTGCTGGACTTACATTAGAACTATATTTACGCTGTAGATCATGTTGATAAATAATTAATATATTGAGTGGGAGAGACAGACAGGAGGTGAGGCCTTGCCTGTGGCTATGGTAGCTGCAGTCCTGGTTCAAATCCCTGGCACCACGTCTGGTCCCTGGAGCATCACAAGGAGTCACTCTTGGGCACAGAGGTAGGAATAGCTTTTGAGCACCACCATTCATGGCCCCCAAATCCTAATACCCCCCACAAATAGAAATAATTTATATTTTATATTACCTTATATCATGAGTTTTCAATCCACAAACTCAGCATGGTACTTTAAATTTTTAATAATTTTAATTTTTTTATTTTGGGGGCTTTTGGGGGTCATACCCGAGAGTGAGCTGTGAGCTCACCCCTTCCCGTCCTTTGGGTGTGTTGTCACAGTGAATACATACAGTTGCTTCTGGGGCTCATGAAGTGGCACATCAGCCCCTGCTCAGGGCTTACTCCTGACTCTGCACTCAATAATCACTCCTGATAGTGCTCAGGGGACCATATGGAATACCAGGGATGGAACCTGGGTCTGCCACATTGCAAGGCAAACACCCTACCCACTGTACTATCACTCCAGCCAAGCATGGTACTTTATTAAAACTTTTACAAGTATTTCAGGAAAAAAAATGTATTGAAGTAATATTAACCTTACAGGCTGTTGTTTTGGGGGTACAATTTTAGGGGGATTTTGGTCATACCTGGCAATGCTAATGACTCACTCCTGGCTCTGTGCTCTGAGATCGCTCATGGTGGGGCGCAGGTGTTGGGAATCAGGTGTTGGAATCAGGTGTTGATCAGAGCTCTGTGCGCTGAGATCGCTCATGGTGGGGCTCAGGTGTTGGGAATCAAATCCTCTTTTAGCACCCCTTACCTGGTGTCCAGTCACTTCAGCCCCAGTGGTGAAAGGTTGTTCTTCTTCAAAATATGTATTGCCATACCACATCCACGACCAAAGTGCTAATCATATCCTTCCACCACAGACCACTGGACCCTACGTCCCTCACCTGCCCTGGGAACCTCAGTTCTCTGATTACAGTCCCAGGCTTTACTTAGCTTAGATTTGTCCTTCCCTTGCTTGCGTCTCTATATTCCACATACAGGTGAGCTCCTCTGCTGTCTCGCTTTCTCCTTCTGACCTTTTTATTTAGCACAATTCCCCTCCAGTTTCAGCATTTGGTTTTTTTATTCTTCCTAAGCACCGTTTTGTAGTTTTCCATGGGGATGTTCTTGCACAACTTTAGTAAGCTTATTTCTGGGTAGATGATAAAGTGGATGCTATTGTAAATGCTGTTTAATATTTTTTTACTTTCTATTTTTTATTCCTCATACATAGAAATAAGATTGATTTTTGTATTTTCAACTTCCACCCAGTAGTCCTGTAAATGCAGATATACATTCTTATTGGTAATCCAGAATCTTTAGTATTTTTCATAAGTTTGATTATGTTATCTGTAAATCATGAAAGTTTTATTTTTTCCGTTCTACTGATACCTTTTTTTCCTTCTTCTGATGTCTTGTTGCACTGAGCAGACCCACCAATATAGGATAAATAGAAGGGATGATGAAGATATCTTTCTTGTGTACTTCAAGAAAAAATGTTCAGTATTTTACTATTAAATATGATATGTGCTACTAGATTTTTATAACACTCCCATCATTAAAGAATATTTATGCTTAATTTACTAGTTTTTAAAAAATCATAAATATATCACTTCATCAAATTATTTGTCTCCATTTACTAAGATTATTTTTTGCCTTTATTCTGTTAATGAACTACACTAATAGATATGTGAATGTTAAAATAAATTGCACTCTTGGAATAAATACAATTTTATGATGTTATCTTTTTCTCTTTATGGATTTCTGAACTTACTTGGTGGACCTTTTGTTTAGGATGCAATAAACATTTTTATTACACATCTCCTAAGAGCATTGTGAAGTTTTGGTATCAAATTTACGCTGATTTTGTAAAAAGACTTGAGAAGTATTTCTCTCCTTTCTCCTTTCCTCTTCCTTCGGTCTTCGAAAGAGCTGTGAGCTCACCCCTTCCCGTCCTTTGGGTGTGTTGTCACAGTGAATACACACAGTTGCTTCTGGGGCTCATGAAGTGGCACATCAGTCCCTGCTCACATCCTCAGTTCGAGGGCTCCCCGGGGGCTGCTGCTTCAGCTGCTGTGCCCAGGCACATTCTGTGTCCAGTGCTTCCTGCTGAATTCACACCCGGGTTCTCCTGGGGATGGACTCCTGGACATAGTTCTCACACATTTCCAGTTGTGATGCACACACACACACACACACACACACACACACACACACACACCAGGTTGTGCTTTAACCCATAATTGCTTGTCACATCAAGGACCCCAACGAGAGCAGAGTTGCTGGGTGGCATCAGAAATGGACTCACAGCCTCGTGCTTCAGCCGCTGCACCATCCCCCAGCCCTTGGAGGAGATCCTAAAACTCAGAAGACTTCTGTAACTCTTCGTTTCTAGTGGTGAACCTTGCCTTCTGCTCTCTCTGTCTTCTTTCTATATTCAGCTACCCAGTGTCAAAATCATGGAGTCTTTTTTCTGGAAGGGGCGGGGGAAGGTTTGGGCCACATCATCCTGTGCTCAAGGCTCACTCCTGGTTCTGGACTTATAGATTACTCCTGGCAGTGCTGGGGGTTCACATGCCAGGCAAATGCCTTAGCGCCTGTGTTACCTTTATCCACCCAGCCCCCGTTGACTTTACTTTCCGCTTCTGCGTCTTGAATTTGTTCTTTTCTCCTACTAACATGCCTGATGTCATTTGATTGCTTGATCAGTTCAGAAAAAAAAAAATTCAGGCGCTGGAGCGATAGCACAGCAGGTAGGGAGTTTTCCTTGCACGCAGCCCACCCGGGTTCGATTCCCAGCATCCCATAGGGGCCCCCAAGCACCACCAGGAGTAATTCCTGAGTGGAGAGCCAGAAGGAACCCCTGTGCATCGCTGGGTGTGACTCCTCCCCCCTCCACAAAAAAAAAAATTTGGAAAAAAATTCAGAAGGGTAAGGGAAGAGTTTCTCTGGGCTTCTGCTGAGGTGCACTTGGACACTCAGTGACCCCTTGTAGACAGGTGATTGCAAGGAAAAGGCAGCGCTGGGGAGGCGGTGGGGTGCCCACTCTGGAGGCTGGAGGAGTGCAGCTGCCCGGTAAATTATTCATGCCAGGGGATTTGATAGGAGGAACAAAGGCAGGAGAGCTGTGGAGGCTATCGCCTGGTCTGTGGATTGGGAGATGGCCAAGAGCTGGGAGGCCTGATGGTGAAGGGGCAGAGAGGCGGGCGCACAAGGCACCCTCCTGCGCGGGAATGGCCAGCAGGGAGACCGAGTCCACCTTCTTGGAGGCCTGTGCGTTGCCCTGTGTGTGCCTCACCCCCTGCTCTGCCGTCCCCTCCCAGACAAGCCTCCGGGACTGAAGAAGTGTGAGCAGTGTTCCCAGCAGTTTCATGTTTAATGGCCAGTGAATTCACACTCAGAAGCAAGGCAGATTTCGCACTCAGAAATTTCCCTAGAGATCACGGGGCTTTCTTTCCCATTTCGTTCACTCTGCTGGTGGCTCCTCCCCCAGCGCGCTTTTCTGCACAGCGTGTGACTGCCAAGTGTCCACCGCAGAGGGGTGGATGCTCAGTGGCCTGGAATTGCCCCCCAGCACTCAGCCTTCAGCTCTACATCCTCACCTCTCCGGCCTTACAAGCATGCGCTCTCTCTCCCCCATGGCCCTCCCTCAGTCCTCCTGGCCACTAGTGACAGCACCCTCCTGTCCTCCTTCTGGATTTCCCAGTGCTCTGGGACCGCTCTCAGCTCTCAGCTCCCCCAATGGAGGCTTCCCTTAAGGCCTGAGTTCTGGGTCTGGGACCTCCCAGGGAGCCACCTGCCTGGCTGGTATTTAGGGGCCAAAGATTCTATCTTAGTGAAATTCAGCTGCTGTCATTTCTCTCTGGGCCCATTAACACCTGGGATTTTAGAGTGTTTCAGTTCTACTTTCTAGCATTCTCTTGCCTCTCTGACTTTGTCAAGCCAGAACACTTTCTATTTGACTCTTGGGTAAAGGAGGGAGAAGTTTTTTCTGTTTGCCTTTCTCACATTTGGTTTGGGGGTGGGGACTGATCTCCCCCTTCTCCTGCCTCCCCGCATGCCAGTCCAGCTTCTCACCTGCTGGAGTCGAGAGGAAACACCAGCTACTCCTATTCGTTTCTTCTTTTCTGAAATTTTGCTTCTTGTAAACCGCTTCATTATTCACTATTTTCCTTCTATTTCTCCTCCCCTAGTTAATTGCTCTGAAACTATGTTTAGAATCTGTGCTTTTCATCGTCACAAACACAAAAATGTATTTTTGAAAAGATATTTTATTGAGTTGATTTAATCTTGTAAATCCTACATTACTACAAATAAACATAGCTATATGTGGTTATAAGCACATACGTGTTTAGGAGATACATCTGTGTGTATGTGTGGGTTTCAGGAGGCCTTGATTTGTGTGTGGCAAGGCAGAAGGGCACGCTACTGGGGGAAATCACCCTGCTAAAATAGGCCCCAATAAGTTGATGGTCCGGTGGGTAAAGCAGGTTTAGTAAGGGAAGATACAAGCGTGCAAAGGGAAGATGCAAATGTGTGACAAAGCAAGAAATATCGTGGTAGGGATATGTAAACTTCAGAGGTTTATGGGAACAGTAAATCATGTGGCCTGGCAGGGAGTATTCTGCTCAGAAAAGCAAGATAATCCCTTGACTTTTAGATTCTGCATTTAGTGTGCAAGTTGGTTATTCGTTGATTGCCTCGAGCAGGCCCCAGTAACGTCTCCTTCATCCTAGCCCTGAGATTTTTTTTTTTTAAGTGCCATATTCAAGGCTCTTTCAGGGTTAGGAGAATGAGACCCATCGTTGTTACTGGTATTTGGCATATTGGGTACGCCACGGGAGTTTGCTAGACTCTGCCGTGTGGGCAGGTTACATTCAGTAGCCTGCCAGTTTGTCCAAAGTAAGAATGAGATAATAAGATGTGTGGCCGCAAATGCGGCCGCGCGCTTCCAGGAGCTGGGTTTTATAGTCTCTGGGTCTTGGCCGTTGATGGAATTACACGGCGCCGGGGGCCAGTTGGTGGGTGTGACCCCTGCCTATTGGAATATGGAGGATCTGGGTGGAGGATGCTCAGCCCCGATCCTTTGTTCTCTGCCGGTACCTTCATGCGTATGGAGAGTGGTCTAACATGGTGGTGGCTGGATCCAAGCCTGCTCAGATCGGGTCTCATCAATGGCCAAGACCCAGAGACTATAAAACCCAGCTCCCAGAAGAGAACAGCGCAGAGCCTCCTGCCCCCACACCTGGCTGTCCTCGCCGGGGCCCCTTGGAGGGGAGCGGGTTGAGTTTCCCTCCCCACCCCGACCAGGGCTCCGGCAGCCGAAGACCTCCAGAACCAGCAGGTTGGTTACTGATCTATAATATATCCATATGCCCCTGGCTATGTAAATCCTTTGTATGGAGAAGGGTGTACATGACGAGTTTAAGGGGACATGAGGAGGCTTACTACATGAAAAAGCCAAGCAGTTCCTCATCGGGGTTGCTTAGGTTGTCTCCCTGCATGGTCAAGCCACTGTGTTTCAGTGGTAGAAGCTATTCCTCTGCCTCTCTGCCTCTCCTACCTCTAAGATATGTTTCTCCCTCTACAGGTCATTACTCACTAAAACAATGATTCGCAACTCTGCACATGCCAATAGCCTGGAAGTCTTTTTCAAAATGCCATTGCTATCAAAACAAGGATTGATAAGTGTTGAAGCCAGGTGATGGTACATAGACATTTATTGTGCTCTCTCCTTAATTTCATATCTGTTTTGAGAAAAGAAAAATATGTTGAACAGTAAATATATGTGTACATGTAATTAAAAGATAAATACACATTCTTTTCTGTTGTTGTTATTACTTTTTTGCTTTTTGGGTCACTCCCAGTGATACAGGGGTTCCTCCCGGCTCTGCACTCAGGAATCACTCCTGGCGGTGCTTGGGGGACCATATGGGATGCTGGGAATCGAACCCGGGTCAGCCGGATGCAAGGCAAATGCCCTACCCGCTGTGCTATTGCTTCAGCTCCTTAAATATACATTTTCATGGAACATTTCAATATACATGTTAATAAATATATACTGGTTTGTATATTTATCAAGATATGTATTAGATTTGAGCCCAGAGCAAACCATTGAAGCAGAATTATTTCTAAGGTTACTGAGCTTGTAATCTGTAGTGATAAGAGTTGCCCGGGATTCTGAGTGCAGAGGTGTATGTGAGACAAGAAGATGATCAAAGTGATTGCTGTACACAAGGAGTATACTGTCAGTTCTTGATAAAATGAGTGTCTCAAGAATACATGCTTGGTCTATAGTCTACTTTCAGCATGCTTCTCCAAACATGATTGCTACTCAGTGCCTCTCTTGCAAAACATAGGACCCAAAAGAAGAGAGAGAGAACAAGGCGGAATGCCCTGCCACAGAGGCAGAGTGGGATGGGGGGATGGGGGGTGGGAGGGATGCTGGGACCTGTGGTGATGGAGGATGGCACTGGTGGAGGGATGGATACTTGATCATTGTATAACTGAAACCCAAGCACAAAAATTTGTAAGTCTATAACTCTACCTCATGGTGTTTCACTAATAAAAAAAAATTTAAAAAAAAAGAATACATGCTTGTGATTTGGATCATTGATCAAACATTCACAAATGGTGACTAAAGAAAACTTATCTATCATAACTTTTAAGGTCGTGTTGTTTGTTTATTTCTTTATTTTTAATAAGGGCTACCCAGTGGGGCTACTCTTGGTAGTTCCCTGCCTGGCTGCAGAGTCCAAAGCTCAGGTACAGTGTTGGGGTCACTAGGACAATAACAATTAGGACGTAAGAGCCCACTGGAACCAGGGATTGAACTCTGGGCTTTGTTCATAACTATTATGTGCTCCACCTTTGAACCATATCATCTCCAGCCTTGGAAGTTTTATTTATTTATATTGGAGTTAGATTAATTATGTGGGCTTTTCTCATTTCCTAATGAATGCTGTCATTGCTGTGTACTTTCCTCTGATGGCCATTTTTGCTATGTCTCAAATGTTCTGGCAACTCAGATCATCATTCTTGCTTGTTTCCAGGAGTCTTGATTGCTTCTCCGATTTCGTCTCTGAACTACTCATTGTTCAGTAGTGAATTATTTAATTTACAAGTGTTTGAGTTTCTCCATTTCTATTTATGATTGATCTCCATTTTCAAAAACTCGTGGTCTGAGAGAATAGTTGATACAATTTTTATCATCTTGATTTTCTGGAGATATGTTCTGTGTCCCAGTAAGTTGTCTAACTTGGAGAGTATTCCATGTTCTCTGGGAAAGAATGTGTACTCTGCTCCTGGGGCCCTAAATATGTTTACTAGGCCCATGTCTTGTATTTCTTCAGTGTCATTGTTTCCTTGTTGAGTTTTTGCCTAGATGATCTACCCATCAGTGAAAAAGGAGTTGTTAAAGTCTCCTAAAATATTGTTACTGTTAATATCTTCTTTCCTATTTATTAGCTGTTGTTTTAAATACTTTGATGGACCATCACTGGGAGCATATATGCTTAGTAGTGTGAGTTATTCTTGATGTGTTAATCCCTTATCATTAAGAAATGGCCATCATTGGGTCCTGATGACCTTTTAAAGTTTGAAATCTATGTAATCTGATAGAATTGTGGCTGCATGCCTTTTCAAATGCAATTGTTTTGCTTGTAAAATTGTTTTCAACCTTTGACTTAGAGCCTGCATTTACTTGACCATTCAGTTGTACCTCTTGTAGGCAGAAGAATGTTAAGTTTTCTGACCTGTTCTGCCACTCTTTTTATTGGTAAGTTAGTCCATTAACATAGAGTGGGATAATATATTGATACAGCTGTGAAGTCCTTAAGCTGCTGCTTACCTGTAAAAATTTGTTCCTCCTAATTGAAATGATAATTTAGCTAGATAAAGCGTTCTTGCTGGGGATGGCTGATGATGCTGAGCCACGAGCTGACACCCTGGGCTTCCTTGGGGGAGGGATCGGGCTGTGGGCTCTATGCTGGGATCTGACATCCCCCCTCCCCCCAGGTTCCAGGCAGCCTGGCCCTTTGGGGGCACTCATCTGGGAATTTGCAAGGTTGGAGATGACACCACAATGATGACTATGACGGCAGCAACAGCGTCAAAGATGGCAGCTATGGCAACACTGCAGGCAGGCGCTGACACCTGGGACTTTTCTCCTGCTCCACCAGTTTCATGGGATTCTCCAGATGGTCTTAGAATACGGTTTCCTTGACTTCTTTTTGTTTGGGGGCCACACCCACCAATGCTGGGTTACTACTGACTCTGCATTCAGCAATTCCTTCTGGTAGTGCTCAGAGAACCATATGTGATGCCAGGAGTGGAAATTGGGTTGGTCATGTGCAAGGGAAGTCCCCTACCTGCTGTACTATCTCTCCTGCCCCTCTTCCTTAACCCCTTAACCCAGAAATATGAACTTCTTTTTGATATTTTAATTTGTGTTTATTTATTTTGGCTTATAATACTATAAATAATGGTTTCTCGTAGGCATAAATCTGCACCACACCCATCACTCGTGTACCTGTCTCCCTTCCCTTCCCTTTCACGCACTCTCCCCCTTACTGGTGTGTGTCAGTTATCAGTTATGTTGGCTTTGGATTTTGCTGCCTCAAGTGTTATCTTTAAGTCCCACATATGAAAGAGATCATTCCTTATCTGTCCCTTTTATTCTGACTTCATTCAGCATGATATCCTCTAGTTCTACCCATGTTGCTGCAAATTGCATGATTTTGTTCTTTTATAGAACTGCATAGTATTCTACGGATTTTCTATATGAAAATAATGAATCAGAAGATGGAGAATTTTTTTTTAAAAATCCCATTTACAATTGAGACTCAGAAAATCAAATACCTAGGAATCAAATTAACAAACGAGGTTAAAGATCTATACTAAGAAAATTATAAATCACTACTATGAGAAATAAAAGAAGAAATACTATGAGAAATAAAAGAAGAAATGAGGAAATGGAAACATATCCCTGTTTATAGATTGGGAGGATAAATATTGTCAAAATGGACAATCCTGCTCACAGCATTATACAGATTCAACATAGTATTATACAGATTCAATGTAGTACTAGTACTACACAGATAGGACTATTGAATAGATAGTGTAGTACTATCTGTAGTACTATAGTACTAGTACTATACAGATTCAATGTAGTACCCATGACATTTTCTAAAAAGAGAAATGCTATTGAAATTTATATGGAATAATAAAAACCCAGAGTAGTCAAAGCAATCCTAAGGGAAAAATATGAGCAGTTTCATCTGCAATTTAAAATTATACAATAAAGTTGTAGTATCAAAACAGTGGGACTGGAATAAGAACAGACTCTCAAACCAATGGAATAGAATTCAAAGTTCAGATATAAAGAAGCAGTCATATGGACAGTTAATCTTTGACAAAGGAGCAAAACTTATAAAGCAGAACAAAAAAAAATCTCTTCAATAAATGGTGCTGGGAATATTGGTCATTCACATGCAAAAAAAAAAAAGAAGAAGTTAAACCCCTTTCTAACACCACACACAAAATTCAAATAAAAATAGATAAAAGGCCTTGATATAAAATTATAATCCATAATTTATATTGAGGAAAACATTGGCATAACTCTTCATAACATTTAATCTAGATGCATCTTCAATGATTCAATGCAAATGGAAGCAAAGATAAACAAATTTAACTACATCAAACTAAGAAGCTTCTGCACTGTAAAAGAAATGACCAGAATGAAAAAGACACCTAGAGACTTGCAGAAAGTAGTTACCCACCATTCATCTAAGAAAAGATCAATATCCAAAATATATAAAGCACTGGTAGAACTAACTTAATAATAAGAGAACCAACCCCATCAAAAAATGGGGGAAGTCATAAACAGAAACTTCCTCAAAAGAAATACAGATGGCCAAAAGACATATGAAAAAAGCTCTGCAGCACTCATCATCAGAGAAATGCAAATCAAAATCAACAATGAAATATCACTTACACCAATGAGATTGACATGCATCACAAAGATTGAAAACAATCAGTGCTGGCAGGGAAGTGGGGGGAAAGGAAACTTTATCCACTGCTGATAGCAATGTCAACTGGTCCAGTCTTTTGGGAAAATAATATGAACATTTCTTTAAAAAAATCGGGGTTTATCTCACATATGATCCAGCAATGGCCCCCCAAATTCTCATAAAAAATTTGTACTCCTGTGTTCATTGCAATACTATTCACAATAGCATGCAAGGAGATCAAGGGCAAGTTGAGAATTCAGCAATTTGGGAAGATATATTTTAGTATTTTTATTTTTCTTGCATAAACCAGATAGTCCCCCTTTTAAAGATTAAAATGGGGGGTATGGTGCCACCAGCAGGTCAACCTGTACCTGCAGGGCAAGTGCATCAGCAGCCTGATGGCGCCTTCAGACTTCCAGATACCCCAAAATTGCTGCTCTCCCTTTGGTCAGACTCCAACAACTTGGGACAAAGTTTACCAAGAAATTAAACGGCCAAAAGTTAGGTATGTGGGAACCACTCCTACAAATCACCTCCGGCTCAGCTAAATAGGCTCATTTATTTGCCTTATTTGCCTTATTTCAGAGAGCCATAAACCTCGAAAGAGATCAAAAGACACAGTTAGGGCCAGTAGCACAGTGGTAAGCGGGAACCTGTGTCTGAGATCTCCAAGCCTGCTTGGATCAGGACTGGACCTCCTCCCCACCACCCTCTAGTTCTCCAGTTTTCCAGTAGCTTGGCAGACACACCCACAAACTGCCCCCTGTGCCATGTAATCTCACCAACAGCCAAGACCCAGAGACTATAAACTAAAGCTTCCAAAAGAGAACAACACAGAATTTCCTGGACATTGTATTCTATCCATAACAACCAAACAAAACAAATTGTCTAACATTGCCTTTTCGGGGGGACTGGAGCAATAGCACAGTGGTAGGGCGTTTGTGTTGCATGCAGCCAACATGGCCGACCCGAGTTCGATTCCTCCGCCCCTCTCGGAGAGCCCGGCAAGCTACCGAGAGTATCTCGCCCGCACCGCAGAGCCTGGCAAGCTCCCCGTGATGTATTCGATATGCCAAACACAGTAACAACAAAGTCTCTAATGGAGACGTTACTGGGCCCGCTCGATTGCCTTTTCGGCAGATTTGAGTGATGGTAGAACTGATGTCGAAATACCTAATGTATCCAAAGTAGAGAGATAATATGGGGGAAATGATCTGTCATACAGGCAGGGAAAGGGTTGGAATGAGGTGGGGTGGGGGAAATATCGGGAATTTTAGTAGTGGAAAATGTGCACTGGTTAAGGGATGGGTGTTTGATGATTGTATGACTGAAGCTCAAACATGAAAGCTTTGTAACTGTATTTCACGGTGAATCAATTAAAAGGGGGGGAATAATAATAAAATAATAAAATTAAATTAACATTCTGAATAAAAAAGAAAGTAATGTGGAGTTAATGCCCAGTTCAATGAGCTTAATGGCTGAATACATAGCAGTACTCCTACATTATAAAAATAGATTAAAATATAACACTGGCAGATAATATTTTAAAAATGAGATGAATATGGCTAAGGATACAGCTCAGGGGTAGAAACAGAACTTGCCTATTTGGAGTGGTGTGTACCAGTCCAGTACCCACCAAAACAGAGCCCCAGCAGCCACTCAATCCCTCACTGCCATGCCCCTGGCTGGACTCCATTGTCTCAGAATATGCAGGCCTCTGTAATTCTAATCTCCAGGCTTTCTGAAAACCTTAATCATGTCCATACCCCAAAGTCGTAGCTTAGTTAAAAATTTAACTCCAGCAGTACTGCCCAGTAAAAAAAACCCTTGACATCTCCAAACTCTACGATACTGATAACCCAGTAGTAGCACACCAGTTTTGACGGGATGTAACATAGAAGGCAACCAGTCTTAACTAACCAAACAGTAACACAGAATGCTTGGCCTGTAACAACATCTCAGTCATCCCTCAGACAAGGACTTAACATCTCCATGGTGAGATACAACAATTTATACTAATTTTCTTCTAAGGAAGTACTTTTTTGATTATTCTGTTAGCAGTCTATTGATAAGAAGCAATAATAAAATTAATTATTGTGAGCCTGCTATGCAGGCAGGCTTGGGAGATGGTTGGGAAAATTGGAGACAGTGGTGAAGGGAAGGTTGTGAGATGGTAGTGGGATTGGTATTAGAATATTAAATGTCTGTAACAAATCATCATGAACAAGTATGCAAACTACTGTATTTTGTATAAAGTGAGGGGGAAATTTTAAACAAATAGGCCTTACCTATTTTGTGTAAACTCCAAGATATATCAGCATAGAATTTCTTGAAAAGTTTTATTAGTGACAGGTAAGGCATGATTATTATCATAATGAGATCTAAATATAAAAGAAAGTTTAATGCAATATACTTTAGGCTCCAGAGTTGTACGCTTACTTAAATAAATAAGAATAAGCATTTTCTATATTATATTAAAAGGTTTTATTTTCCTAATTTATGTGGGCTAAAATCATACAGCAATCACAAATTGGCTCTTACCCATTTTATTTTCTGTCACTCTATTTGCCATTTCTTAAAGTTTTGTTGGAACAAGTAACATAAAGTAAATTTGTTATGTAGCCAAGGGGCAGGTTTGGGATGGAAGAAAAAATGTGGACACTGGTGGAGGGAAGGCCACACTGGTAGTGTTGGAACACTAAATGACTGAAACAACTGTGTGATGAACAATTTTGTAAATCCCAGTGGTTTTAATAAAAATAAAATGTTTTGAAAAGGAGAAAAAAAGAAAGAACACTTGCCTAGTATACACAAGATCCTAAATTTAATCCCAGGCACTGCAGAGTCCCCAAGCACCTACGAGTGTGGCCCTATTGTTCCCCTAGTACCATTTTATATTTATTGTAAAATAAATTTGAAAATCTTTTATTAAAATTAAACCAAGATGAATAAAGGGAAGGCCATTTCTGATACTAATAAAAAGGAGCCTAATCCTTCTCCTCTTGTCTTGTGCTCTCTCTCTCTCTCTCTCTCTCTCTCTCTGTCTCTCTCTCTCCCTTTCCTTTTGGATATTATGGTTTTGCAGTAGATACTGAAAGTTTATCATATATGTCCCTTTACCTTCTTTAAAGTGTCTGCCATAGAGGGAAGCTGTGGAGTGGGGCATAAGGTAGGGCATAGTGTAGGCAGGGCATTTGGGAACACGGGTGGTAAGACATGTACCCTGGTGAAGAGATTACTCTAACTGTGCATCTCATGGTGACTCAATTAAAACAGCCCTCCCGTTGTTCATCGATTTGCTCGAGCGGGCCCAGTAACGTCTCCATTGGAGATTTTGTTGTTACTGTGTTTGGCATATCGAATACATCACGGGTGGCTTGCCAGGCGCTTCTCGGCCTTTTGGCTAAGATCAAGTGTAGTAACAATTAAAACAAACAAACAAAAAACAATCCCCAATCCCTTGTCTAGAGTTAACCTCTCTCTGCTCCATTTTCTCTACTTGCCATTGTTGGCCTCTTTAGTTCACAGTCTAGTTCAAGTTAAGGAGCTCTCAGGAAAGCGCGAAGATGCCGTGCTTTAAAGATTTCCAGTCTCATCACAGAAACCTGCCATGCATGCAGTAGGTTACTGCCCACCGTTGCAAGGCAGCAAAACCACTGACTGCAGTAACACATGGGTGCACAAGCTGCCTGATGGGGCTAGAACCGGAAATGAATCATGCATGACTGTTAGGTTCTGAAAGGAGCGGAGGGGGAAGAAGGCTCAAAGGCATAGAGGGACTTTGTTTGGAGGCAAAGGGGGATTTTTTTAAAGGGGATATTGACTTTGGCACACTGTGGGAAATGGCAACCATTTTTTTTATAAAGTTGTTCACAGTGATTTATTACATTCAATATTCCAATCCTAATCCCACCTCATTACAACTTCCCACCACCATTATTTTCAATTTTCCCAGCCACCACCCATAGCATATACAAAATGATTTATTTTGTATAACTTGTTATGTCTAATTCTGTAAAAACGATCCCAAAAAGATATCCTTAAAAGAGAGGTGTGTGAAGATTGTTATATCTCACCCTGGAGGCATTAAACTCTTATAGAAGAGATTACTAACATGTTGTTACAGGTTAAGTCTTGTGTGGTTAATATTTTCTTAATCAAGTTTAGTTCTCTTCTACTTTACTTCCCAGCCAATGTGATATACTCTTGGTATATCAGTGGTGTAGAGAATGAGATGTCACTCCAGGAATTCCAAAATTTTAAATAGGGGGATACAGCTGGAGTTAAATTTTTAGCTGGATGATGACTTTGGGATCTGGAGGCATTTCTGTAGCTCACTGATCTCTTTCAAGATTTATTGATTAGTCTCAGGATAGTGGCTGGTCAATGAGCTCATTTAGCACGAAAGGCAGTTCATGGGTGTGACTGCCAGGTTGGTGGAAGTACAGAGAGATGGGGGAGGTCGCCCATTCCCTACACCATGCGAATCTGGAGATTTTGGTCACAAAACCCGCATATCTGAGTTTTTCTGGAGCGATAGCACAGCGGGTAAGGCGTTCGCCTTACAAGCGGCCAACATGGCCGACCCGAGTTCGATTCCTCTGCCCCTTTCAGAGAGCCCGGCAAGCTACCGAGAGTATTCGATATGCCAGACACAGTAACAACAAAGTCTCCAATGGAGACGTTACTGGGCCCGCTCGAGCAAATCGACGATCAACGGGAGGGCCTTTACCTTTACCTTTACCATTCCTGGATAAGGTGCAAGCCTGTGGAGTCCTGATGTAAGAGCATGGCAGCAATTGGGCTCTGGAGGTTTTCAGCTGCCAAGGCTCTGATGGGGTAGGTGGGAGACTCACCTGCCCCACTCTGGGGTGCCTTGGATATGAGATTCAGAAATGGCAGTCAACTTTAGTTATAAAGAATAAGGCCGGACTGAGCTCTGAATTTAGAAGGGATACTTTGGCTGCAAATACATTAGAATAACTGGAGCAAATTAGCCTGTAGTTAGCATGGTAAATTAGCATGGCAGTTAAAACCCAGATTCTTGAGTCAAAAGGCTTAATGTAAATCCTCATTTCACCCACTTCTGGGTGTGAATATGCAAGTTGCTTAATTTTTTC